AAGGCAGGCCCAGAGGAGTCATAATCAGAGCTGCCTACCAAAGCCACTCTTCTAAACAGAGGACTGGGTTTCTGACATTTCACAATTCATTTGCAAGGTCATCACAGCAAAATTCAGAACTCTATGAGTTCCTTTTGATATTACAATCTATAATTGTTCTTATTTTGAATGGTGTGTTGCAGGGCCGGGGGGGGGGGGGGCAGTAGCATTCATAATCTTTTCATTGCTTTGGCCTCTAAAGAGCTTCAAATTCCCTCCCTGAGGGCTCCAGGCAACCTGAAAACTCTCACTGCAAAAAAAAAAAAAAAAAAAAAAAAAAAAGCACAGGGACTCCACTCTTCTTAGTTCTGCCAGTTTAAGGCCTGATTTCAGAGAAGTCCCTATGCCATTGTGCTCCTTGCTTCCTGACATAGGAAGGAGGAAGTGAAGATCTATTTAGCACCTTATGACTGGTGAAAAATAGCTGGTGGTTAATGAATCAATGCAAAGCATTTTTCAGATACTGTTTCGTTCTAACACCCCATTTTCATCGGGCGAGAACACAGGTCCCAGGGGTTGATGGAAAGCATGTCAACAGCCCAGAGTGGAGAAACCTAGTTTTTTCCTCCAGCCACGTGGGTGGGCAGGTAAGATGGTCATATGGATGCTCATTCCAGCCCCAGCCTGTGGCCCTCTGCAGAGATGCATTTGTTTCGAATCAAGCAATCTCCCTGGAGCATCAGTTATCACAAATCACCCTTTCACCCTCAAAGGCTCCTTTGGAATTATCCCAGAGCCAATTTTTCTTCATTTATAAGACAATTTCTCCTATTGTTTAGAGAAAATACCTGGGTACCTTTATAGATCTCTCTCTTTATTTGTCTGATAGTTGTTATTATTAAAATGATCAAAATTGACGATCATTTCTGAGACTTCCAAAATCAAGGTTATATAGTCAATCCAAAGATGAATTTCAAGGTTTAGAAATGTATTTTAAAATGTCCCTACGATGTACCGGAAACCCTTGTGTTCCATAGTCACTTATTAAACTACATAACTCTGAGTGCTAGGGAAGGCCCGGGTGACAAGTGCAGATAGCATGGTGACTGCTTCAAGGACCTGAGAATGGGATTATTAGTCCACAGGGCATCTAACTGTCCTTGCTGGGTTTTGTTCAGTATTTTCCAGCTTTGTTTTAATTATTTCAAAGTTCAGGACCTACAAGCTGCCCTGAAATAAAAACATTCTCTTGTGTTGCCTTGAGCCTCCTCTCATCTCTTTGGCCACATCTGGGCAGCATGCAGAGCAGGAAGGATATGTCTGCCTTCCTCCCTGGGGAGATGGATAATTGGCAGACTCAACTAGAGCTGCTGTAACTCGCCATTCTGAAGCTCTCTGACACCCACGACCCTACCACTCTTGTGAATTCTTCTGACATTTAGTGTTGACCCCACGTTATGGATGATAAGACGGAAGTCCTGAGGTGTTAAGTCACTCCCTGAAATATCACCAGTTTATAGATGAGGATCCAAGACTTCAGACTCTGTGAGGTCTTCTGTAGTGCTGCTTGAATCAGCCTCACTGGGCCTCTTCGACTGCTTTGAGTTCGAGCCCTCACCGTGGCTAGATTACAGAGTTAGTTTAATCATTGCCATGAACACTCCTTTGTTGATTTTCATGATATACACAGAGATCTTTAAGTTGGAAGGCATTTCTAAAAATAAAATCCCCTTTCCTAATTTCACTATTTATTATCCGATTTCAGTATGGAGCTTAGGGTTTCCGAATTTGTCTAAACAGATGAGCAAAGCGCCCCACCCCCATCTCCAGTCACCTGAAAGATGAAATGATACAGAAAGGTGTTTTGTTTTGTTTTTGCTTTGGGTACTACTTCCACAGCAAAATGAGATTGAATAGTCACCCCATTTTCCTGAAAGGTCATAGTCTACTTGAATTGCTAGCAACCAGAAGCCAGAACTCAAATATCATCAGCTAAGAAAAGTCTTTGCTGGTGAAAGAGTGAGTAGTTTCTATGAGTGTCAGATAGCTAAAGACCTTTGGGCAGGAAAGAACCTCAGGAGTTGAAATTATGAATAAGAAGCAATGAATGGGTAAATGTGGTAATTGCACAGAATTCCCAATGAAGTAAATCCGTTGTTCTGCCTTATTGTACTGAAGTCATGCTGTGCCATCTGCATGGTGGGGACGGTATGTGAACAGGCAAAGGGGATGGTAGGGGATGAACTCAGTCGCATGAGTGAGCGTTTTGAGATGAGGGACCACCTTCTCGTAAATGGGCAACCTGCAGGGAGAGGGGCTGACTTGTGCTGTAAGGAGATGTGATAGCAGACCTGTTGGTATTTTCTTAGAGTGTGTGGCCAGATGACAAGCTAGTTAGGATGCTCTATTTAGAAGATGGCTTTCTGATTTGCAAGTCTTGGGACTAAGACCATTATTTCCTGGGACTAGTCTTCTAACTTACTGTTTGCCCCCACGCACATCTTGACATACACAAAGGACAAGATGAAGGGAGTAGCTTCCTTGTGTTCTTACTTATCTCCAAGCTTGCTGCTATGAAAGGAAACACACTGCACTTGGTTACTGTGTCAACTGGGGGAAGACATTAAATGGGGAGTCCTTCTGATATCTGGTCTCAACACTCAGATTTGGTGCTTGTACCTTCTAAACCAGAGGTTCTGAACCTCTGCACCATAAACCCATAACAGTAACAAAATTACAGTTATGAAATAACAATGAAAATAATTTTATGATTGGAGGTCACCACAACAGGAGGAACTGTAAAAGGCTGCAGCATTGGGAAGGCTGACAATCTAAAGTGAGAATCATTTAAGCTCTAGAACACCAAAGTCCATTGTAGGCAACTTCCTCTAACAATTAAAAATTTCTTGGGAAGACAGTCCCCCACTAAATATAAGTACCTAGAGAACTCTGTGAAATGCCCATTGTAATGAGAACTTTCATCTACCACCTTCTAATGATGGGAATCTTGCCATGTTTAGAACCATGAAACTCACCAAGTCAATGAGAAAAAATGAAACCATTGTGCATTTATGTGTAGGAAGTTAAGAATATGCTCGACAGAATTTCACATACAATCAACACTGAAGGAAAATCAGTTGCTATTTTAACACAACAATAAGAAAATGCAAATTTTAGAAGAACTTTTCATTAACACATTTTCTTTCAGGCATAGGTATTAAAACATATTTGAATGCAAGACACCCATCATCTGGGGAGCACCACACTTACAATGTGTGAAGTAGAACCACATTTCTATGCTGCTTTTTCCCCCTCCTTCTCCTCTTTGGTTTTTATCCCTTAAAAATCCCCTGAACATAGGTCTGGACATATTTGAGAAGTGTCATGTTGGGAAATTATTCAATAGCTTACCATCTTCCTCTTGTGCTCTGGGCACCTTGATCCCTCATCACCAGGGGTATTTTGTTTAATCACAAAATTTTGCATCCTAAAAGGTGTTTGCTACTTAAGCTTACTCCCACTGGAAGTCACAATCCTTTGTCACGGGACAGTCATTTTCCCCCTGAAAGCACATGTGATGTCACTGTCAGAGAGGATCCTTGGGAGAGAAGAGTATAATCTTCCAGTGAGGTCCTCTGGGCTTCTAAACCATCACTTTAGTAATCAAAATATTTTAGTCAGAAAACCCCTCATGACAGAGCTGTGTCTCTTCTAGGTTTGGGCTGTGACATTTCAAATATAACAGCAGCAATCAGCAAAAGTTTAAGGAATGAGTGGTATGAGTTTAGGAATGGATAGAGATTTTTATTTCATTTCATTTTAATTCAATGCCACTTACACTTGCCAGTAAAATGCATTAAACATATTCCAGAAAGAGTTGATTTAGCAGGTGAAAAATGTGCCTCCAGAGACCAGACAAGGTACATTTTCTGTCTTGCCATCTTTCCATAATAGGAACAATGTTTACATTTCCTCATGCAGTGCCTCTAATGTATTCATGTTCTTTCACTCTCCAGCGGCAGGGATGGAAGTATTTGAGATTTTATTTTTTTTTAGCTACTGGCATCAAGCACTTAGGATCTGAGGTTTGTGGTGGCTGTTCACACTTGGCATAAAAAAAAAAAAGCCTCAGTGTTTGCATTTGATTACAGTCGCTCAACTTGGTGACTGATTAATCAGGATAGAAAAGGCAACTTTTTTCCAGAAACAAGGCTTCTTGGTTAATGTTGTGGAAGATAATAGATGGGGTAGCCGCTTAATTTTTATTAAATCGACGAGATCAGCTTTGCTGAAGAATCCCACGGTGACAGCAAGCCCTAAGAGTAATAATGGGACCTGACACTTTACAAGCCCATAAGGGCCCCCTGATTTAAATATTCTTTCAGTTCTGCTGCATATTTACCTGAAATTGAGTGTGGGTTTTCCTTTTTGATGCAAAATAAATGTAAATATTGTAACCTGTGAGCTTCAGCTATTTTTCACTGGGGTGACATAAAGCCACTATCCTCTTGTCACTTCAAAAGCAAACATGCCTTTCTCCAGACAGAGCCCCCATTGTCATAGGCAGTCATCAGAAAAGACTGAGTGGAAAGCTTGGATTGTTGTGTGATTTGTTCATTTAACATGCATAAAATAGTTGCTACTTCCTTCAGGCTCAAAATAGCTCATTTATTCTAATTCTGTAGAAGGTGAAAAAGATCAAAAGGAAAAGACAGATAAATAAATTTTGAACTTGCCGTCATCCTTAGAAAGATGTTGGAAAATCATGTACCAGAGAGAATGAAAGCCACAAAGAAGACAACAAATAAAATTAATTTACATATGTCCCGGGGCTGGCTGGGGTGGTATGGGGGCAGGGAGGATTAATTAGTTAATGTTTGGCAAGCTGCACCCTGAAGACAAGCTATGCAGAGGTGCTGTTGTCACTTATTTCCGTTATTAATTAACAGTGTGATTGCCAAACACCAGTTAAGCCTCACAGTATGTTTGTTTCTTAATGCCATGTGCGATGTCTATTACAGGAGTGATTCGGGAAAGTTACCTCAAAAGCAACGACCAGCTCGTTCCGGTCACCCTCTTGGCCATTGCAGTCATTCTGGCTTTTGTCATGGGGGCCGCCTTCTCGGGCGTCATCGTGTATTGTGTGTGCGGTCACCGGCGCAAAGACGTTGCAGTAGCGCAGCGCAAAGAGAAGGAGCTCACACACTCACGTCGGGGGTCTATGAGCAGTGTCACCAAGCTCAGCGGCCTCTTTGGGGACACCCAGTCCAAAGACCCAAAGCCCGAGGCCATCCTCACTCCACTCATGCACAACGGCAAGCTGGCCACGCCTAGCAACACGGCCAAGATGCTCATCAAGGCTGATCAGCATCACCTAGACCTCACCGCCCTGCCCACCCCAGAATCCACCCCGACACTGCAGCAGAAGCGCAAGCCCAACCGCGGCAGCCGCGAGTGGGAGAGGAACCAGAACCTCATCAATGCCTGCACCAAGGACATGCCCCCTATGGGCTCCCCTGTGATTCCCACGGACCTGCCCCTTCGGGCCTCCCCAAGCCACATCCCCAGCGTGGTGGTCCTGCCCATCACGCAGCAGGGCTTCCAGCATGAGTACGTGGATCAGCCCAAAATGAGCGAGGTGGTGGCTCAGATGGCACTGGAGGACCAGGCTGCAACCCTGGAGTATAAGACCATCAAAGAGCACCTGAGCGGCAAGAGTCCCAACCATGGGGTGAACCTTGTGGAGAACCTGGACAGCCTGCCCCCCAAAGTTCCACAGCGCGAGGCCTCCTTGGGCCCCCCAGGAGCCTCCCTGTCACAGACCGGCCTAAGCAAGCGGCTGGAAATGCACCACTCCTCCTCCTACGGGCTTGAGTACAAGAGGAGCTACCCCACGAACTCGCTCACGAGAAGCCACCAGGCCTCCACCCTCAAAAGAAACAATACTAACTCCTCCAATTCCTCCCACCTCTCCAGGAACCAGAGCTTTGGCCGGGGAGACAACCCGCCTCCTGCCCCGCAGCGGGTGGACTCCATCCAGGTGCACAGCTCCCAGCCCCCCGGCCAGGCCGTGACTGTTTCGAGGCAGCCCAGCCTCAATGCCTACAACTCACTGACGAGGTCGGGGCTGAAGCGCACCCCCTCGCTAAAGCCAGACGTACCCCCCAAACCCTCCTTTGCTCCCCTTTCCACATCCATGAAGCCCAATGATGCGTGTACATAATCTCTGGGGTTGGGGGCCAGGAGTCAAAGCATCAGACCAGGCGAGGCACCCACCCAGCTCAGCAAGGTCTCCACTGCCTCGAGTATCCACCCGACCAAGATGGCTCTGGAGGAGTTGAGGACGCCGGGTCCTCCTCCCTGGGACACAGGGACACTGAAAATCGGGCCATGTGGTTTGGTGAAGGTTTAGCAACAGTCACCTCCATTCTCTTCCTTCACACAACTCGCCCACATCGTACAGCAGGTCGGACTCACAAAAGACTTGACAAACATGAGCCAAAAAGCACATCCGTACCCCGTTCCCACATGAACACACACCCACACCCAACACTCACACTCACACACACACACACAGTTGAACAACCACCACCACATTTTGTCCCTGACTGCACGGGACATTACCAAACTGGGCTAAGCGTTCGAAACTTTAAAACACATTTTTCAAAAAAAAAGAAAAAGAAAATTAAAAAAAAGAGTTCATTGATAATTCTAACTCAGACTTTAACAATGGCAGAAGTTTACTATGCGCAGATACTGTGAAATGCCCACCAGTGTTACAGCATTGCTATAGCAGGTAAATGCCATGTTGGGCAACGATGTCATAGATCTCTGCTCCTCTTCGCTTTTAATGAATAACGTGACCGTTAACGCAAGTAATTCTTATTTATTGTTCACCCTTTTCTTTTTCCTTAAGGAAAAGACTTCCAAATGCCACCGTATGAACAGTTCTGCAGAAGCCCGTGGAAAGCTAAACTATTTAACGTGAAATCCATTAACTGGAATAATTGAGTTTCTTTATTTTTACAATAAATTCACTGAGTAAATAAGTTGGAGCTGGAATTCTGAGCTTTGTGTTTGGACTCTCGGGTCAGTAGCTAAAGGACCACAGTGCTAAGAGGGGAATATTTATTTAAATCTCCCAGTTAATTTGTCATTTCAGTCCATTAAAAATCCTTCGAGATCCTAACTACCAACCAAGGGAGAAACGTTTAGAAGGGCACTTATGCCCCATTGCCAACACATGGCTCTGTCTGAGGCCCCCACTGTCATGAAGGCACCAGCTGTGAAGCCCCCCCCACATCCCAATTCACCTTGCATGTGAGACAGCAAACAAAACTCCACAAACTGTGTGAACTAATTAATACGCTGGCTGCTACCTTGCATAAATTATTGATTTGGTCACACGGGTGTTTCGTGGGGTTACATCTGTGAATAGCCTGTTTTCCACATGTAAATTTGTGCCTTACACGCTGAGTTGTATACGCTTGTAAACTGTCGTTATGATCAACTTTTTTTTTCCTACTTGAAATAAATGCAGATATTTATTTAAACCCCACCCTTCACTCAGCCCTCTGGAAGACTGGAGTCAAGCAGATGGAAAAAGAAGGCAGTAGTGGCGGCTGTAATACCGAAGGCTGGGTGACACCCTCTTTTAGTTCACGATGCCTTCAGTTGTGCCCGCGCTTGGCCGTGCTGCAAGCATGCACCCCCAGTGTCGTGGGTGGCAAATCCCCTTTCCCAGAGCTCTCTGCTCCCCTTATATTCCCAGATCATTTCAATATGGTGACATCCTCCTGAGCCAGCAGAGGAGGGACTGAAGTCCCAGCCATTATTTCTGCTGTGTCCACTGACTGGAGAACTTGCTGTGGAGGTTGGGGAGGCAAATGAGAGGAGTCTCCAAGCTGTGCCTTCAGCACACCCATGCAATGCACAGAGAAAACAAGGAAATAGACGGGGCAGGCTGGTCCCTGCTGTGATTAATGGGTATCCCCAAATACAAGGCAAACCACAATGGATGCTGCAAAACCCATTTTCTGGAGCAAAGGTTCTTTTGGTTTAAGTTCCTTTATCTGTTTGTTGTTTATAGAGGGTTGGGAGGGGGTAGTGTGTGTGGTTTTGTTTTGTTCTTTTCTCCCCTTGTTTTTCTTTTGCTAAAGCACACAGAAGGAACCTTTGTTTACTCCATCATAAACAAAAGGATTGTCTGCACACTGTAAACCATGAGCATTGTTTTCATATAAACAGTTTATTCGGTGGTCTCTTCGTCTCTTTCTTATTCCAGTTTGGTCTGGATTTAGTGTGTCTTAAAAATAAAAAATGGACTTTCAGGAGAAAGAAAAGATTGACAAGGAAAACTTTGAATTGGTTAGTTACTATGTTGTATCTGTAATCAGAGCAGTCCCCCAGAGCCCGGAGTGTACAGCTGAGGGCAGGTGCACAGCCCTTTGTCCCAAGAGTCCTTTTGCAGAGCAGTGAGGCTGTTGCTTGGGGTACATAAGATGTCATTGGGCTTTATTTTACCTTTTAGTGAAGTCATTGTTCGTGTCCTGTAACCACTGTGCCCTGAAACCATGAAGACTTTCTAGAAACAGATACTGTTTTCCCCCTTACCTTTTCTTTGCAAATACAAAATCTATAAAGGTGATGGGTCTCAGTCACCCTATGACCTTCTTCTCACCGGTGTTAGAGTCCCAACAGTATTGCCCCAACCTGTGTCCATCTTAATGGGCTTCATTGCCTCAGCTGTGTTAAGGAGACCTGTGTCAAAACCCACATCCCTGTATCCCACAGCCCGTTGCTTTTGGTGTTAATCCTGCAGTACCACGTCTATTGAGCTGGTCTTCAGCATTTAAGCATCCCTCTCCCTTTCTGCCCTCATCTTGTGTTGGGGTGTCATTCATAAACCCAAGCCACCCTTTGCCTGGCTAGACACTGTAGATGCAGTAAACTCGGACTTACATTGGTTGTAACATTGTAAAAATGTCATGATGTCACCAATTTTTTCCTTCTGTCTCCACACACCGTAACATCTGATTCACAGTTTAATCTATGTTGTGAAAAGAAGAAGAGAAAAAAAGAATGAAAAGGGGGGAAGAAAGGAAAATCGAGGAAAGGGCTCTTTTATTACTTACGAGTAATAAAACCAGACTGTTCTACGTTACCTTTTGTGTCCAGAATGCTTTTATGTCTTCAGTTTTCATTTTTTTAGTCACTCTCCTGCCCCCTGGTTCTCGTCTTCACCTCTATCTGGTTTCTACAGTATAAATAACCATGTGGTCAGACACATTTGTTTGCAGCCTCCTCGCCCTGCTCCCTCCGCCCAGCTTACTGATGTGTTTTCTCTGCCCGCACCCAGCCTGGAGCCGGGTTTTAGCAGAAGCTCTGTGATTAAAAGGCAGAGTTCTCCCTGACTCTATTCATTTCATGTGCTTTCTTTTTACGGGCTTGCTCATCATCAAACATTTATGGTAGGCTTGGTAGTTAGACACCAAGGCTAGGATTTTAGTATGAAGGGACCACTAAAAATAGATCCGTGCACAGATGTGACTTGAGCCTTCTTCCCTATGGATAAGGTGGAGGGCGCTGGATTTTGCTCCCTGTGAGTTATTTCCATCTTGTAGCTGGGAAGGTGACTGGAGTCACATTGGGATGAAGGACTTCCCGCCCCGCCCACTCCAGCCCCACCCCTAGCATCAGGATAGTGTTATGAAATGCCTGTGTTAGGTTTTCCCCTCTGGAGACTTTTTAACCAAGTCCTTGGCGATGGCGTTTTACTTGTGACCTTTGGTGGTAAAACCTGCTCTGAGCCAGTTTGAGTGTGAGAAGCAGCAGGATGGGCCTCGGTTCACATCTAGAGTAATCTATTGGTCTGGCTCAGTCATCTTTCCATAAATCGCTTCTAAGTGTTTGCTTTTTTTCTTAATGCCCTTTTATATTGGTATATAGTCATCGTATCTAGTATCACAATGGGTTTTTCTTATAAGCATACCATGTAACTGGCCATATCAGCTAGCGGTGCTTTTTGAAATTCATCCATAGTCCATCTAGTTGGGCACAAAGTTGATTGTTTTTGTCCCCTGGTTTGCACAGAGGGATTAGCATAGCCCTTTTAATTGCCATTCAAAGGGAAGGACTAAGTACTGAACAAGGTCACATGGACACCTTTGAGCTGACCATTAAAGGAAGCATTCTCTGATCATCTAGCTCAGAAAATGGCTAGCTTATGCAAAGGCAGCTTGTGTCGTGTTTGGGAAAGGAATGGTTTGGTTTGCCCTGAGCAAGGCCTGTGTGATCCTGTGAGGACAGGGCTGAGGGTGGATTGGAACACCTGACTCATATGCACTAGGTTTTAACTGCTCAGCACCAGAGCCCAACCTCCCCCACCCCTGTCCCTGCTTAGAGAATGTGCAGCCACATATATCTCCATGCTCCTAAAAGGCCACCTGGCAGCAATGTGGCAAATAGCTGGTCCCTGGGCATAGGTGCAGGCAGTTGGAAACGTGCCAAGTGATATGCCCCAATGGCAGGGGCAACTTAAGGGGAAAGCCCACATCCAGCACCATGTGTAGAAAACAGAAAGTCACTCTGAAATTGTCCTTCCAAGGCCAGACAACAAACAGCTTCCTTCTTACATGACTGGCAAGGTTGTCCTGCCCAGTTGTCCCCAAGTGTCCTCATATAGAACTGAATGGATGGCCCACAGCTGGTCCATTTAAAAAATAATCATGGGGGAAGATGGGACGGAGAGAAGGATTGGCTTGTGATCCCAAAGCTGACAGAGAACAGCTGAGCAGAACACACGTCCCTTGCCTCTTACCCATTCGCTCGGATCCTCAGAGCTACGTTTGATAGAAAGACCCGATGCCCTCCCTCCAGGGCCTCTCAACCCGGCTCCTTCTTCACAGACCCCACACTTCCCCAGCTAAACACACTGGAAACCTTTATCTCTGCCAAGGCAAGGGTGGGCAGGAGCTCTAGGTGTGAAGTAAGCCGTCATTCCAGGGCAACCTTATGTTTATCTGGTGCCATCGGCCTGTCAGCCTGCACTGGTGTTGGGAGGAGGCAACAGAGGCTGAACAGGCAGGTGTAGCAAGTATTTTAGCTGGAGCCCCAGGGATGCCCCCACCTAGATGGGAAAAAAACACCTCAGACAACGCAGATTTTTAATTGCTGTGTTTGCTTGCTTGGGTGCTTGTTAACGAGACTGGAGGTTTCTGCAGGGTGTCTTTAAATTGTTGTGCCTAAAGAATGACTGTCCTCATACAAAGGCCAGGCTAGGTGTTTCATGGGTCCACAGCGGACATCTTGGGCCTGACTTCCTTTCTTAAGTTCCATGTCAGGTAAACTCAGCCTTGCAATTTGGCAGAAGCCAACCATGATGCCCCAGAACCCCCATGCCTGGGTTTTGCTGTCTGAACAAAGGCTCTTTCAAAACAAAGTCATTCAGCAAGGGAAAGTGTCAGAAAGGCAGCTCTGATTTCAGACACTGGTCCATTTGGCTGGAGGGAAAGGGACAGGGAGAATTTAAAAGAAGCCCATAGAAATGAAGTAATGTGATTAAGAACATAATCCTTTCCCTGGCTCAGCCCTGTGACAGCTGGGCGTTTGGACCAGTAACCCTGAGAAACCCCATCTCACGCTTGTCTTAAAACCAGGTGGTGACGTGTCTCTCCTACAGAAGCGGGATGGAAGGGCTCACATTTATTGATCGGGACTACCAGACAGATGGGGATCTTCAATATTCCATTTAGAGTATTGAGTATCCCCTGAGATGGGGGAGGTTGACCTCAATGGAGGGTTAGGGCTGAATTGATGTGCATTAAATGTGGCTGAGCAGAAAAATGTGCAGATGTCCCGGTAGTAATGGAAATGAAATTTGAGCAAATCAAGGGAGGCAGCTGATTTGCACGGGGTTTCCCAACCCCCTCAGAAAACATGGGTGCTTATGTACACATGTGTGCGTGTGTGTGCATGTGTACACACACACACACACTACTGCGGCTTTTTTCTTGGACCCAAACTGTCACAGAAGTCAGAACTGCAGAAATGGTGTCTTCTTTCAGAATCACTGTCTCCTCTTTTCTTGGTAAATATGGGATCTAAGCACTTTTAGGGAGAGTCGTGATGAACTACAAATTCAGAAATGTGAACCAAGGAGATTTCCAAAGAGCTGTATGCATGTCCCTTACAGCCAGTGACACTGGCTGAGGTGGCTGACGGCGTCTTCATTCTTCCTAATGATATTCAGGAGGAAGACTCTAGAGATTCATTAGCATGGTCCCCAAGGCAAGTCCTCCATCCTGCTAGGCCAGCCCGCTGTAATAATGGTCCAAATACGGGAAATGTGGGAAGATAATGACAGGAGAAAGTAGGGAACCATGAAATCAGAAGCAGTTCCCATTGGTGGTTTCCAACAACAATGAAAACAGGAAGGTGGCCTTGAGCACAATACCATATACCAGGAAACCAACTACCAGGACACTTGGGCTAGGGCTCCTAGGTTCCTTCTGATAAGGACATTGATGACAACTCAGATCACTTCTTGGGTGTCATGACAACTTTCTGAGCATGTGTAAGGGATGTGAGAAAGCAGGCTGCTCTCAACAAAATGTTGTGCCCACTCTCTGATGTGGATACTGCATGTTATACATAGCTAGTGTTCTTTTTTTTTTTTTTTTGGTTTTTGGAGACAGGGTTTCTCTGTGGCTTTGGAGGCTGTCCTGGAACTAGCTCTTATAGACCAGGCTGGTCTCGAACTCACAAAGATCCGCCTGCCTCTGCCTCCCGAGTGCTGGGATTAAAGGCATGCACCACCAACGCCCGGTTCATAGCTAGTGTTCTATCGGTGAAAAAGTGTGAATTTTAAAAGTAGGACTACCTTTATAAAAAAAAAAAGTGGAATGGTCCTGACACCCAGAGGAGGTCTTTGTTTCCAATTACTGAAAAGCATAATATTACACATGTTTAAATACTGTAATTTGCAAGCATGCTCTTGTCCATTATATCCCTTGATCTTTATCTTAGCCTAATGTGATAGACAAGAGGCGCATGGTCATCCCCGTTTTGCAGAAATTGGAATTCAGGGAGAGGCCTCTTAGGACAGCACTTAGCATGGAAATGTAGTCATGGTTCACAAACCTGTGTGTTGACATCGTTCCTGCAGCTCTCTCAGGGGACACCTCAGCTTCACTGCAAGGGACTCCTGTGGTGTTTCCCAAGAGGGATGATCACAGCAGTAAAGTCCCCCAAATAAGGGCTCAGTGCACATGTTCTATTTTAGGGCCATTGTGCTCTAATATTTTTCCATAATTAAAGAACACAACTCTTCCTTCCCGCGTCTGCGGAGTTCTGGGGCCAGCCATGTTATTAAGAACTCTCAACAAAGCCGGGAAAGAAGGAGCCAGAGACAAGCTGGTGGCTGCCCTTCTAAGGGTGGACCCTGCCACCTCACACATGGTGACAGCCTGCCTCCAAGCAAAGAAAAGGATAAAATACAGCCTTGGTAGCTTGTCCCTCCTAACACAAAAGAAAGGCTGGGCAACTTACAACAACCCAGGGGGCATGAGGAGCAGACTACAAACAGGAACCATCCTACCTATACTTGGCAGCTTGGGGAGTTTTCCCAGCCTTCTTCCTGCAAAGGACAGAGGTAAAAAGAAAGGTGTGGAAGGAATGTCCACTGTTGTCTCTCCAGCCCAACAGTATGATGATAACGTGACTAGTTGATTTGCTTACATGCCTAGAACGAAGTTTCAAGACATAGAAGATAACATCTGTCCTCTGCCTCACATTGCCATCACCATCATCATCATCTAGGACCCACGTCCTGTTCTGTAACAGCCACAGACTGGCCCTCCTGGAGTAAATAAGCTAAAGCGACACGCTGCATGGGAGAGAATGGACTGTCCTCCCTGCTGTCTCCAGGCAGTGTGGCTGGACATTCACCAGGCTGGACCTGTCTACAGCACTCTGAAGAAGCCCACCTCCTCCAGCCATGGGCAGATGTCCTAAGGTCCTGCTGACAGGGATAAAAGTGGACATTCTCGAGTTCCGCTGTTTTCTTTATTCTGGTAGCTCGGTGTTTTGTTTGCTTGCTTGTTGGACAATTAAAGATCTGTTTCCAATCTCTGTAGGCTTATCCCCATACACAGACGTGCTTTG